CTAAACCAGAATTTAGTTTCAAACCAAAACAACTAACTAGTTTCATAAATCTTACCTGGACAATTTGCAGTATTTTTTTCATCGTCTAATTCAGCTTTCACGGTTCTCTCCTCATCGTATCTCTCAGCACACCAATTGTGGTGCTAATGCAGTCTCCGCAGTGTTGAGGCATGCATTTAATGCAACATTAGTTGAAGGTGAGGATCAGGCTCCAGGTGTTATAAATATTGCTTGATTCCCACCCACTTTTAAGCTGCCCTGTCTGCGCCCTTTTAAAGACACAGGCAGTATTGCATGAATTCAGCTTAAGCAGTATTTAATCAGAGCATGATACTTTTAGAGCACAAGCTGCCACACATTTTTCTGACTTTACTCTTTGTATGTGGACATCTTCTGAAACTTAGACAGATCATTCTTTAGGATGAAAGGAGCCGATCCTAGCATTTTCCTTGTGTGGACCACCCAAAAGGTCCACACAAGAAGAAATGTCCACACAAGAAAGGTGTTCCGTCAGGGGTTGGTTCTCACAAGTATATAAAGACAAACCCACACACACACACACACGCACACACACACACACACACACACACACACACACCTCTACCAGTCAAAAGGAGACTCCCCAAAATGCAGGATATAATTCACGCACTGGGTATCAGAGAAAAATTATAGAAACTTCTAATTTGCTGTGATGTCTGAAGAGCATGTATAAAAATAATTACAGGATTACTGTTTTTTTTTGTTACAGTTAAAGGAAGAAACGAATCATTTAAAAAAACAGCACAACACATGGCAATAAGACAAAGCAGAAGAATATGACAAGCTCAAGAGAACTGGGTGACTACAAAGAGATATGAGAGAAGGAAAAAGGGGCAGAGGGCACAAGGGACAGGACCACAGAGATGAAGAAACTAGAGAGCTCAAAAGAAGAGAATGGTAGAGGAGAGGAAAAGTGAGGCAATAACAGATACAAGAACAAAGGCCAGTGGCAGGAGAGCAAAGAGAAGACAGAGAAATGAGAGGACAGAGAGACAGGGACTGAGACAGCTATATTAGTGGAGATCTTAGTGTGACCTTGTGCATTCTGTTACACAAGGTTATTGAGAACCTGTGCAGTTCACACTGGTGCGAGCAGAGTCTGTTAATGGGCCCTATTTTGAGGATCCATGACATCTGATCAAGATGTATGGGCACCAGTGATGTTTGGGTTTGTTTATATTTTAGTAATTTGACAACGAGGAAAAACAGTTCACGTGTCTGTGCAAGTAGCACCTGACCTCCTCATTAAAGCAGGAGTGTGTTTTGGGTGTAACATGCAACTATCCAATCAGTGTGTAACCTCACATCCTCTTTAAGAGACGTGAGAGTGTGAACATTTGGCAGATTGCTAGCATACTGGTGAAGTTGCCAGGTCAAACGTCAGTAAAATTTCCCACTGAAGAAATGATCTGGATCATGGTAGTGCAGCAATTAGTGCTGTTGCCTCACAGCAAGAAGGTTCTGGGTTCAAGCCCCAGCTGACCCGGGGCCTTTCTGTGTGCAGTTTGCATGTTCTCCCTGTACCTGTGTGAGTTCTCCCCAGGTACTCCATCTCCCTCCTACAGCCCAAAGACATGCAGCTTAGGTTGACTGAGACCCTGTGATATGGCAACCTGTCCAGGGTGGACCCCGCCTCTCGCCCAATGTCAGCTGGGATTGGCTCCAGTCCCCCCACAACCCTCGTTAGGATAAGCGGTATAGATACAAACTGTATAACAACCACTGTGCGCACACCTAATCAGGCGAGCATCACAACATGGTCAAAGTGCCCATTAACTAGCAACAATGATTTGACTGTTGACTACAGACCTAGTTTTTGCTGTGCGCCCTCAAATTACCACAGCGCCTAAAATTTACCTGGACACACCCCATTTTCATTCAGACACAGCTGCCGGTGCGAAGTTGACATACAGCTGTTTGGCAAAAAGGCAACGTGATGTGCATGTCATGAAAACTAATTGGGCAGTTGGGAAATTATGAAACACAGATGTGCCACCCTTGCTGCACGCCATGCGTTTGGTGCACGCATGGCGCCCAGTGTCTCTTATAATTGGGTTGTTGTCAGATGTGTTGCTGTCTGCACTGGCTGGTCTGTGTAAACTCCAGACTACAGGAGAAAATAGACTTGATTTATCCTTAAGGAACAATAAAAAGCAAAGGTAACAAGTGTTCCTACAACCACCCCCTTTCTCTGGTTTTACTCAGTCATACCAGTGAGACAGCAATAAATAACCCAAGGGAGAGTCCAGGCCTTCAAACCAGATTTTCTCCTCACCTAAATATGATGTTATAAAATGACTTGAATGACTTCAAGGCAAGGGCACTTTTGAGACAGACTGTGTTTGAATCTAATATCAGTTGTGAATAGATGAAAAAGTGGAATAAAAACATGACAACTGGAAAGTGATGCTCTTCTCTCTCATCCTACAGTACCTGGTGTGATGGCCACCCCATTGCCATTGACAACTGGACTCTCCTCTTCCTCCTCCTCAGGTGGCTCCAGGCTGGCACGCTGCTCCATGTTGCTCACTGACTGGTTCCTTTTCCTCTTGCCCTGGGCGCTGGGCCGGGCTCCAGGCAGCAGGGCCTCACTCACATTCAGAGGAGGAGCTGCAGGGGATGGCTCAGCGGGAGGTTTTGGCGTCCCGTAGAAATTATCTGAGGGCAGAGTGGCACAGCACCTTTGTGTTAGAGGCCACTTGTATGATGAAGGAGAGACTTCAGGTGATGCAACGCACTGTCTGTCAGGCAGAGCGCAGGTCCACTGCTAGCAGGCAACGAGTCAACACAGGATTACTTTTCAAAATGCAACACATACAGTACACTTAGCTTAGCCAAGCCTCTGGGCTAGTGAATGTCATGGCCAATGCAAATGAGAATCAGAATCAGAATCAGCTTTATTGGCCAGGTGTGTCGGACACACAAGGAATTTGAGTCTGGTACAGCGGTATATATATATAGAGACTTATATATATATATATATATATATATATATACACACACACACACACACACACACACACACAGTATATATAGTCTGTCTATCACTTAATATGTTGATTCAGTGGAAATTGGATATGTTTTTGGCAACATGTCAAACCTGAAATGAGTCAAAACTGAGGAACAAACCATGATTTCTGAGGACTGTTAAACACCTACTAGGAACAAGTCTTTTTTAATGAGTCTGTTCAATTCTGTGCATTTGCAAACTGCATAATGTTTCACCTTTGCATTCCAACATTGTGAGTCAGAAAACACAAAGCCTATTTCTACCCTCAAACTCCTTTCATTTCCCAGTCCCACCACACTGAAACACATACACATAAATAAAAGGAGTCAACCACAATATAAAGTGACTTTCTTCTAAAGAAAGACAAACACATATGATTTTCTTTTATAAGCAACAACCTTTCCTAACTTTGTCACCCAATCTTGAAAAGGAGGTACTCCAGGCATCTTCCAGTTAATTTACCATTCAATCATCATCGCTGTCTCAGCCCAGTCCTTCAACAACTGCAGAAAACAGATAACACCTTATAGACTCCTAAAATATAACATTTTAGACAGGACACAAATTGCAAACCTGTCACATCCACAATGCAAGAGTGACTCCTCATCCAAAATTATTGTCTCATTTTGTAGCATGCCCTCATCTCACCTTCATACATTTCCAGCAGACTACAGAATCTTTTAAGTTTTACAGCACACATATATTAAAGTTCAGACAGGGTGTGGTTTGAGTTTTCATTTAATGGGTATATCCACACTCAGGCACAGTAAGGTAGTCCCACTTTACTTGTATGTTTTGTGTTGAATACAACTTTTTCATTGCTGCTGTGCTAATTTGGCCAACTCACTAGTTCACTGGCTCTCAAAGCCCAAACCAGCTGTCTGTTCATGTTAATTAAGCTGACGCTATCTAAACTACATCTGTTGCTTTGGACAGACATGGGGCAGGATGTTTGGAGAAAGATTATTACAGTGGTAGTGGGAGGACCATATTAACATATTTAGGGTTGCATACTCAACAGCAGACAGTGTTCTTAACGAGTTATGGGAAGTTTTCAGCTCTCCTGAGAAAAAAAAACATTTGCTGCAAAGTCCATAATTGCTAAAATGCATAATTCTAAATGTAAACAAAGCACTCTAAATATGTCCCCAAGGGCAGACCATGTCCATTTTGTAAGATAAATTAATCTTGTGGACTTAAGAAAGCCCTGCCACTGTGCTCTCTCTGCCTAATGATGCACATACTGTAAACCTATTTTAGAACATAATGGCAGCTGTGCACTGAGCCTATATACAGTATGTCTCCATTATTATTTGTGAGCTGTCTGTAGTTTTGTTTTATTAAAGTGGCATATTCATATAATTTATGTGCGCACAATAACAGCCACTACACTTTAACAGAGAAAAGCAACGGCCTTTTTTCACACCATTTCTCCCCTACCTGACTGCCGTACACAATACTGTTTTATCTGGAAAAATAAAATTTTGATGACTACTTATAGCCTACTACCTGTGTGGATTAGCTGGTGGAAACGGGTACAGTTTCATGATTTGCTCTTCAGCCACTACAAAGCTCTACTTTTATTTGAAACTTAAATAAGACCCTCGCTGTTGGAAAAATATATTTTGTGATTAAATATTGAGCATGAGTGAGCGACAGAGACATCTTATTTTATAATCCCTCAAAGTGGAGAGGTGGGGGGTGGGGGTGGGGGAATGGGAGGAGAACAACAGCTGTGCAAAGAGGAGGGAAGGAGGCAGCAGTAAGGGACAGAAAAAGATCAGCAGAAAAGAGTCCACAGAGGCAGACAGATATATTAAGCAAAGCACAATTAACCCGCTGCACACTACACAGAATTATCACATTATGATAAAAATACAACTGTGCACACAGAGGCACATGTTAAAAAAAGAAGATACGAGTATGACACTATACGTAGCAAGTGCTCGCCTATGAAAGCTTAAGGACGACCTGATGAGATGCTTTAGAGAATACAGTATAAAGCATGATGAGATACGTTCAGGCCAGAGTTTCTCTGTATGCACCACACTGGTTTTCAAAAGGCAATGCTCGCCTGATCCTGAATGCTCCTAGTTTCACTCAAAGGCATCTTGGCTTTATACTCATTTCAATATCCACCTTCACCTGTGACTTATACACATATGTAAAGTTTTATGTGCACCAAACTCTCCTGAGACACACACACACACATACACACACACACACACACACACTACAGTTATTCTGATGATATTCCATGTCTGATTTTGGCCCTGTTCACTGCCTTCTAAAACTTAACCCATCATTCTTACCTCCTGTCTCCCATTCCTCCTGCTCTACTCTCTTATTTTATTGTGCATTACAAAATGAGTTGCTGCACATCCAGTACAGCCACTAAGAAAGAAACAGCTTCCCCCAGTGGGCATAAGTAAGCTCTGTATTCTGGGAATCTTACACTGTAAACACGCAGACACACAATTATAAAATGAATACAAAAAAAGGAAACACACACATGTCGATACCTCCTACACACAATTTGTGCTCACAAAAACTGCTATTGGGCAAATGAACCAGCAAATCCCCCATCTGTAGATGTATCCCTAACAGTGTAGCAAAGCAGATGCACAGACTTGACATGACTTGGAAATGGCGTTCATCCAGCTCACACACATACACTGAAGCAGTCAACCAGCTGTCCAGCAACCACTAGAGGAAACTGTAATACATTACTTGGTGCAGGAGACTAATTCTGTTTATTTATTCACCCGGCACACCTGATCCATAGTAAAAATATCTACACTGTAGCACAAGAAGGCAGATTCAATTTAAAAATAGTAAAATAGCACTACTGAAACATATGTTCCTATTTTTGCTCTGCGAGCACCTGTAGTTGTCTTGCAGATGCAGACCGTTTCTTGCACAGTGGCCACACACTGCTGCCAGAGCTCACCTTCATAGGTTCCACTCTCTAGCAGGGCCCCACTTTGCTCCAGTTCCATAAAACGCTCCACACTCACAAAGTTGTAGTCCACTCCTGGCACCTCCCCCTCCTTAGGCTGCCTAGTGGTACCTACAGAGAAAGAGGGGGAGAGACAGAGAGAGAGAGAGGGGTCATCAGAGACAAACAGGGCACTTGAGAAGAAAAGGCAGGAAAGCAGAGAAAGGACATAAAAAGAAGGCAGATTTTAGGCTGTGGGAGGAAGTGGGACGGGAAAGGAAATGGAATAGAAGAGGATGAGTGAAGACTCATCACTTGTGATAACTAAATCCATTCATAAAATTGTGTGTGAGTGACAGGGAGAGGCAAAGAGAGCTACTGTAGCTAGAGAGGAACAAGGAAAGCATTCGAAAATAGCAAACCACCATCATTCAGTCCCGACAAGCCAGTCTGGTACTGTTTTAGTAATGAGCCAATCAATACGCCACTTTGATCAAGCGCAGCATAAACCTCCTTACACAACATGCAATACTGTGCCATCTTGATTATTGTGAAAACAGCAGGGATGCACAGGCGCAGCATTACCATGCAGTAAGAAGAACC